CCAGGGGCAGCGTGAGAGCAGCCCATTTCCATGGGTGACAGAGGTCGATGCACACACAGGGTGCAGTGTCGGACACAGGACACGTGGGGGACCAGCCCTCCATTTATCAGCCCAGGCTCTGGGGCAGCTGTGCGGAGGAAGGAGAGGAATAGGAGGATAGAGATGGAGATACATACATCCAGGAAATCCTTCATGGCAGTGTCGAGCATCACCAGGTCTGTGAGGAAGGTGCCAAGGTAGGGAATGGTGCCCTGCATCACACCCTGTGGGGACATCAAGGGACAGTGAGGTCAGCAGAGAGCTGTGACCAGCCCAAGCAGCCACTGGGGAGGAGGCACAGGGGCGGCTGTGCCAGACTCACCATCTCTCGCTGCTGCTGTTGCCGCTTCTGAGCCCTCTTTGGGTTGATCTCCAAGGTAGCAAATTTGGACGTGCCCTCCTGGATGGTGGGGAGAGGTGAGGATCAGCATGGGTGGGAAACTGCACTAATAAATGAGCTAAAACTCAGCCCTGCTTTTATTGATACAACTTTCCTTGTAGAAAGGGGAAGAGGAGGAAATCACAGCTGAGCTTTTTCATGGCTCAGAGGGAGGAGAGGCTTAGTGAATAGGAACTGCTGCTCCCATTTTCCAGCTCTGTATAAATAGCTCCTCAATGGGATGTTTTGTTCCCTTTTGCATTTTCTCTCTCAGCCCCTAAACTAGAGCTAGGCTGGGAAGCTGCAGAGAGGCTCCATGGGGAAGAAGGACATTTCTGCTGCAGCCTTTCACAAACCCTAAAACTCCACCCGAAATCAAAAGGACTTTGCACCAGGCTGCCTCTGGGGAGAAGCTGTCACCTGGTGCACTGGATCCTTTCCCACTGCTCATCTCTGGTTGCTGAGTTGCTCTGCAAGCTTCAGGCAATGACAACTTTTGGGCAGAGAAGCAGAAAGTCCAGCCCAGTTCCAAACCCTGCCTGCTCCTCAAACTCAGCAGGTCATGCCTATACCCATGCCCACAACCCTGGCAGCTGGTGGCTGGAATGCTGGGGAAGCTTCTGTTGGCATTCGCCCAAGCTCCATGCCAGAGCCAGGGTGATGTGGGTGCCACTTCCCCATACCTTGATGAGAAGCTCCCGGCTCAGCGAGTGGTTGTTCTCGTCGGAGAAGATCTCGGAGAGCTCATGGAAAGTGCGGAAGCTCTCCCTGCTCAGGGAGAAACACGGGGGGAAGTCAGTGATAGTGCCACCCTGGGGTCTCCTCCTTGGGCTCTCTTCTGCTCACCCAAAGGATCCCCCCCCCCCCCCACAATGCTCACCACTCTAGCAGGGTCTTGCTGTTTGGGGGCTATTCCAGAGTGCTTCACATGGAAAGGAGAAAAAGAGGTGATGATGGTGCTTTTATTTCCTCATCCTCCTTAGGTCCCTGACACCTTACACTGGACCCGAGGTTTGGGCACACTCCAAGAGGCAATGCTGGAGCCGAGATGATCCCATCTACACATTCCTGGGCCACAGCCACAGCACAGCCTCCCCTTTGAAAGCTCCCCATGACTGCAGGAGTCCAGCAGATGCTGCTTACCGTAGGACCTCGTCCCAGGTCTTCTTCAGCCGGTGAATGGCATTGCACTGCAAAGCCGAGAGGATGGCTCGGAGGGAGGAGAAGTTCTTCAGGATGCGGCACTCCTGGGGGCAGACAAGGAGATGACAGGACTCAGCGTTAAAGAAAGCCCAGGGATCTGCTGGGATTCACACACCACAAAACCGCAGCCCTTGAGCCGAGGTGGGAGGTGAGGAGGATGGTGAGCTGTCCTACCCGAGCCACTTCGATCCACCGCTCCACCACTTTCGCCCTCTGCTGTGGCTTCAGGGACCGGTCTCCAAGACATGTGACAATGACACAGTTGGCCACACTATTGAACTGCGAGACTGTGGCACGGATGGTGGGTGCCAGGTGCTCTTTGCCCTTCTTGTCTCGCTGGGACCAGATGCAGCCCAGGCAGTGGTAAGGCACCACTTTCTTAAACAGCTCCTGGAAGATCAAGGGATGGAGACAGGTCTCTTTGGGGTCCCAGGAAAGGGAACAGGCCAGGAGGAAAAGGTGGAAGGGAAGAGACAGGCCTGTGCCCAGAGCAGGGGATAGCAGACGGACAGAGCACTATTGACCCATCTGTCGAATTAATACTCACAGCATCCATCAGTGTGAACTGTTCTGCCACCATCTCTGGGGAGAAGGAGAGGAAATCCAGCTTCCCGTCCCCAACCCCGTTCTCCTCCACCAGCTGGAAGGTGCAGCCACCATGATCCACAGCTGCAACAGACGGCACAAAGCTGAGCATCTCAGTGCTGCCACGAGCTGGGACCCACACCGACCCATGCCAGCCTCCTGCGGACATCCACATCCCACCTCCCAGGCTCTTAATTCCCATCTGGCTTCATGCCTCAAGAAGTGAGGCTCAGATAAAAGGATAGTGTCTGCAGAGGATTAAAGGCAGATTAGCTAATTCGCTCAGAAATCCCACTTCTGGTTCAGTGGGATTAGCTTCCCGGTATACCTCCATGTAAATGCACGCAGGGTTTATGGGAGTTCAGCTACATGGCAAGACCTGATGTTTTGGAGACCCTTGATGCCAACCAGTAGCCCTCTGGCTGCTGCAGCCATAAATGACCCCCCACAAGTGGGGAAGGGAAATCACCTTCCACTTCAGACTCGCTCTTCTCTTGCTGCTGGAACTGGGCCAGCAGGATGCGGGCTCGGCGCTCCAGGTCTGAACCAGGGATGTTATGGCGCACATAAGAGATGAGTTGCTTGAGGCAGGAGAAGTCTGGAGGCTTGCGGAAGTCCTCTGAGTACTGGTCCAGCCAGGCGCCCAGGATGGAGGAGATGGTGCTGCGGGGAAAAGGGAACACAGGCAAGCGTGAGAATTGGGTGCCAGGAGAAACCCATGTGCACACCCACAAGCCTCAGGCACCAGGAGAACCCCTGGGACAACATATGCCTTTGTAAAAGAACCAAAGATCTACCACCAGAGCCCCCATCTCTCGTTCCCCCATAGCTCAGTCAGACTTACTTCTTCAGCTCCGTCCTCTCATCCACAGCATGTCTGGCGTGGTCCCCATTCGCCTGCACGTGGAGTTTGCCGTACCTGGTGGGGCAGAGTGAGGAGCCAGTGAACATCCTGGACTCAGCTGTGTCTCAGTGCTGCCTCTTCTCTCTCCACACCACCCCTAGCTCTGCCAGGGCCTCAGAATGAACCTCTCATGCACTGTCCTGCTCCCTCTCATCTGCTACAGCTCCTGCGTTATGGGAAGAAGGAAGCAGCCAGCACTGGTCCCCTTGCAGTGGGTTACCAGCTGGAAGGGCTCCAGCTCACTGGGAATTTATGTCCTCCCTGCCCTGTCCAAAACCTTCATGCTACTGGGGTTGGGAGAAGCCCATCAGCCCTCCAAGGCACGGCAGCAGAAGATGTTGGGGCTCTCCTGGCCAAGGGGGCTCAGACGCCAGCCATCCCCAGCTGTGCTTCGGGGCTCAGGGCAGCCTCACCTGTTAAGCAGCAGGTCCAGCACTTGCTTGGTGGTGGCGAAGGCCCGGTAAGTGCACAGGAAGATGGTGACGTAGGTGGAGTCATTGCCCTTGAAGGCTGAGACCAGGTACTCCACCAGCTTCTCCAAGGTCCCAGCTTTTATTGTCCGCACCTTACACGTCTCGTAGAGGTTTAAGGCTGATTCATTCTCAAACTGCCAGGACAGGAGCAGAAGTCAATGGGATGGATGTAGACAGACACAATCAAGTGCAATGTGGTCCCACCAGCTTCACAAGTTGCTTTTGGGTCTAGGCTGGGACCACGGACCCCCTACAGTGCCTGGGGCTCTCGTGATGGGCCTGGGGAAAGGCAAGCTGGACCAAAAAGGAAGCCAAGACCAAATACCAGCAACTCAGCTTAGAAGACTTCAGCATTTGGGAAATCCCAGGAAAGGCCTCAAGGTTGCTGAAATCTAGATGCAAATCAGTGTTGCCCTATTTTGCAAATCGGAGTTTCAGATTTTCCCCTTGCTCCTTGCTGTGGGGCAGAGGCCAGTGGGTGCTCCCATGCCCCCGTTTCCAAATAAATACATGATTCCCAGATAAGGCTTGGAAGGAGCCCCTAGTGAGGAGCATATGGGGGAGCAAGAAGAAGGCAGGACATGGGCTGGTATCGACCCTGCCAAGCCCTGACATCAGGTCACTGTGTCTCTGGCAGGGAAACATCTGGAAACCCTCAGAGCCCCCAGCTTACCCCCAGCCATCGCTGTCCTTTGTTGGCTGTGTGATGGAGCTGCACTTTCCGGAGTGATATGCTGTAGATCACACCATCCTCCACCTCTTCTCCAATCTCCTGTGTGGAGCTCTGCATGAGAGGACAAGATACACCATAAGATAAGGAGGGTGAAGCATGACAGATATGCTCTTGCAGGCTTGTAGGAGGCATCTCAGCAAGCCGAAGACAACAGCCGGCAGGCAGCAAGAGTCTCCCTCACCTGCTCAGAAATGCAAACCAGCCTTCCTGGCCAGCTTAACCTTTGGCCTACCTGAGCCTGCACACAGGCAGAGCCAAGACTTTGGGAAGCTGCTCTTGGTCTGCTCCATGTCCCCTGCCTCTGCATCTCAGCCCTTCTGCAAATCCAGGGTGCACCAGCACCGGGTGCCAGGCAGAGCGGGGACCCCTGGCAGGGCAGCAAGGGGGGTGGGTGACAGCACAGCCCTACACCCAGCCCGGGCTGCTTCCCCCTCCCCAAGCCTTTGCCTTTCCTGTAAGGTGAGAATGCCACCTGGTGTGACCATAATCTCAGTAATCTGCCCCTGTGGGAACCAAGCACCTGGACACATCTTTGGTAATAAATAATAACGGTGTAACCAAGGTGCCCATGATCATTGGCAGCGCTGGCCACACACACAAAGCAGAAATCCAAGAGGGGAGCTCAAAGCTTGGAGGAAACCTCAGGGAGCGGCGGCAAGGTGGGCTTGGGCACAGTCAGGACAGGTCCCTACACCCCTGGGGATGGGCACCTCCGGACCACAGCCCAACCCAGCTATGAGGCTCATGTTTCTGCTCAGGGGAGATGGAGACCATCTAAAATGTGGTGAAGAAAGAGAGGACACTTCTCAGGGCAGGTCCCCAGGCACACGCTTGCCCCAGTCCCCCCCAGCCCCATGTACCAGCACGGGGTTCGGTGGCAGCTCCAGCCTCACAAGGATAATCGGTTCCCTCCTCCTCTCTCACCACGCTCTGCTGAGTCAGTGCCTCTCTTAAGAGGATTTATTCAGATTCTTTTAAACACCGTGGGGATCTCCCCAGCCAAACAGCGGGACACGGTGCAACACACGGCAAAACCCACTGCTCAGCAGATGGGGAAAATGCCTGAATGCAATAAGCCGGTTAGCAGGGGGAGGTGACCACATGCTGGGGCACAGGGGCTTGGGGACAAGTCCCCCCTGCCTAAAAGGCTGCTAGCCAGGGGCCAGAGCCAGCCCATGGCTTTCCCTGCAATCTGCCTCTCAGGAGCACAAAAACCCCTGAGCAATGGCAACAGCGCAGGGCTCGTGGGGGACGAAGCTGCTGTGGGGTGATCCAGCATAGAACCCCAGGAAGCGCTGCTGCTCCCTGCAAAAAATCCTCCTCCCGAACTACTCCCCATGAACATGGGAATGGCCGTACCCGGAGCAGCCCCCCGGCTTCAGACAATGCTGCACATCTCAAGAGACCCTGAGCTGATGTACTGAATGTGCACCTAACACGCTCCTTAACCACCACCCTTTATCATCGCCATCACAGCAGCGGTCACCGCGCTGTTATCGTACCCTGCTCAAGTCAAGTCCTTGTTATTAAGTCAGGCAACCACAGCCAGCTCAAAGAGTAAGGGGAAAACTTTAAAAAGCCTCTCATTCATGGTTGTAATGAATGAGGACAGAGAATCCCCCTGGGAAGGGTTCCTG